ATATAATGTTTACATTAGAGTTGTAGAGCTGCTGTTGGACAAAGTCTGGTATGTTTGGACAGAGCCAAGACAGCTTTTTTTTCCCATTTCCAGTGTTTATGCTAAGTCTTCTCATCGAACTTTTGTCAAGAAAGGAAAAAAAAACATTTCTAAAGCTCAAATATTTGTGATAATCAATGAATTCACAGTGAAAATCAGCAAATCAAGTCAAAATCAAAACAAATTCAAATCAGAAGCGAGGATGAGCTACACTACGTGCTGCGCAAAACTTGTTTGGAGTGAACACTGCCACAATAGAATGACAAATACTGGCCATGTTAAAACTAAACGAAACTGTCATAACAAACAAAGCATTAATAACCAGAGCATTCTCAATAATCACTTGGCTTTCAGTTCCCACCCTCTCTCGTTGACTGTCCCTTCACTTCCCTGTTTGGGCCAAAAGTTCTATTTAGTACTGCAAAAAACAAGCAGGTTAAGAAACCACAGTGACGTGTTCTGTCCGTCTGTCTATGATCTCCTCCGCTCTGTTAAATCACAGTGCAGCACCTGCACACACCAAACAGCGCTTAAAGGACAGTAGGTTGGTCAGAGTGTGTGTGCATAATGATAATAAGTTAACGCATTAATGGGGAAACAAGCAAAACATGGTCTTGACATTGACAAAGGCAAAAGCTATCGGCGATCACTCTGATGATCATCGATCACTCAGGTCATGGTCTATCGGCACAACCCTATTGACTTGTGCTCCGGTGCATTGCTGCAGTATTTAAGAAAAACATGGCATCCAGAACGGATGCGCTCAAAAGCTGCCAACAATCGACTGCCACACTGGAGGCACAAAAACCTTCAAAATGAACAGACTTCTTTTTCTGTCACACTTTTGTTGACCAACGCACCTGACCTGCTGTCAGACAAACGAATCACACTCATGTCTCCGCCAGCATTGGAGACAAAGATCTTCCTCTGTCTTCCTCTACAGGATGACATGTAAATACAGCAAGTTATTTACAGACTGGCTCTCCTCTGGAGTACTCTCACTCAGCAGTGAAAGTGTTAACACAGGGACGCGCTGCTTGCCAGACGAGCGCCTACCTTTCGACGGCTCTGTGCGCTTGGGCAGATCCAATGTGTCGTAGTTTTTGTCGTTCTCACCGTTTTTCCTGCCTGGGTAGGAGAGAGAAGAGGGGAGACGATGTCAGTGTCACATCCCGAGACAAGCGGATTGGAAAGGACAAAGTTGTAGATACGGGAGTTAGACCGATACGGGTTTGGAAAGATATCATTCTCTTTGGGTCATGGAGCATCTCAAAAGGATTAAAGTCCACTAATAGAACTATATTGGTATATAGATTGGTTACAGCTGATCAATGTGAGGCAGGTTCAATGGGGGTTGTACAAAATGAACACATATCGGTCTAATCCAGGTCTACACTACACACCTACCAACAATTAAGCATGAATGTATGCATGTACACACAACACAGAAAGCTAGAAGCGTGATATGTTCAAACACACATATAGAATACACGCTGTCTTCTGCCCTCGCCCTGAATTGAGTTCAAGGCCACACACGCACATGTACAGTAAATCACTACACTTTCTTTCCACAATCACATACACACACTTCTCTAATGTAACAGCAGCACTTCTACTTCAACACACCTTGAATAATGCAGTGGCAGAGGGTAAATGGAGTGGGGTGGTGGTGGTGGTGGGGTTGACTGCAGCACAGCTAACGGTCATCTCACATGCACATGCACATGGACATGGACATGGGACGGTAAAGAGATACAGAGACAGAGAGGCTGATGCCTTAACTAGATGGAGGTGAAATTTACGGCCACTGGGGCTGGGGGAAGAGGAAGTTATGAAGCGCTCCCTCTGGGCTGAACCCCCACCTCCATTCAGGAAACAAGCTCATACATTTAAGTTGCCTAAATCAAGGTTAGAGAATAATTCGTTTTTTTTTTTGTTTTGTTTTGTTTTTTTAAATGTGAAATAAGATATTAGCTAGTTAGCGCTGTCCTCCTGTGAAATGATTTACTGTATAATGGATCAATGTTGCATTAATCATGGGAAGCTCAATCTCAATCATGAATGATTCTAATATGGATCAATATAATATTCATTTTTGCATATTTCGAGGTCTGGTATGCACACCACAGGCCTCCAAGGACGGTTTTTTTTTTACTATTCCACGGTCAGAAAGTACTTTCAGACAGACAGCAGAAACACCGCCATGTTCTGGCTGTTGGCCCTGGTTGAACTTCTTCAGCTTGCCACTGCAGTGTGTGAACTGTGTGACTGTGGCAGACCACAAAAAAAAACAGTGCTGAGCTAGTTTTACTGGTAAAAACATTTTAATGCAAAAGGAAAAGGTGGCTAAGGTGCAGTGGGTAGAGGAGCAAGACAAAAAGAAGCAAACAAAGGAAAAGGTGGAGTTGAGCACACACTGAATTTTTCCATTTTTCAGTGTGTGGACAACCTGGACAAGTATAAAGACTGGAAGCAGGGGGATGGGGTGGGGTGGGGGTGCAGCTATTCTGGCTCTGACTAAAGGTAACCAACAGTGTGTGCACTGTGTCTGTGTGCAGGCTGTCCGCTGGCTAGCTGTTACTACCACTTCCATTCTTTAGAGAAACTAAGCTATGTGACTTCTGGCCTCATCAGTAATGCACAGACATGAGAGAGAATCTTCTCATCAAACGTTCTCAGAATGTTAATAATGGACCTTTCCAACCAGCAGAAACACCCTAACTTTCAAGGTTAATGAACTTTGGCACAAAATCTTGAATATTGGCGGCTTCAAATCTGATCACACATTTGTACATACACACACACATACACACACATACACTAACAGGGCCTGCAGCAGAGCTTGACATTTATGCTTAAACACAACACAAAGGGATCAGAGATGAGGTTCAGGTTGGATACAGTCTGTAGTAAAAAGTTGCACAACTCAGTTCAATCACAGACTCTGACAAAAACCAGTTTGGGGATAGATTTCAGGTTTTAATTTCCAGTCCTGCATCTTTGATTCAGTTGATTAGTCAAGCTCTACTTACATCCTGACGATAACCAATGGACTTACCTGCTTTTTACCCTTCACCTATTATATAAGACTAAGGAAGAACTACTTCTAACAAACTGTGAGGATCGGGACGGGTGGAGACTATAATACTCAGTGCTACAATAGGTAAGTAGGTATGGTGAAGGAATGCATGTGGAATGAGTGAAACACCCAGATTTTCTGAAGTCCTTGGAAGTTTTTCAGGGTTTTTGGAGGACACCCAAACCTACTTTTAACTATGTTCTACAGCAAAGGGACAGGAGGAGGAGGAGGAGGAGGAGGAGGATGAGGAGGAGAGGTGGGAGGATGGAGAGGAGAAGGAGGAGGAGAGCTGAAGTGAGAAGGGTTGAAGGGGGGGGCACTCACCTTGATTAAACCATTCCTCTATAGTTAGCCAAGGAAGCAGCAGCAATGCCAAAAAACACAAAGCAGGGAGAAGAGAGAAGAGGCATGGTGAAAAAGATGTGTGTGTGTGTGTGTGTGTGTGTGTGCGTGCGTGCGTGCGTGCGTGTGTGTGTGTGTGTCAAGAAGCTGTGCAATACATGTGAAACACAAAGAGGAGTCATCTTTTACTGAGGAGTGAAGGAGAAGGAGAAAAAGACCAACAGAGAAAAAGGAAGGAGTACTTTTGAGATATATAAAAAAAAAAAAAAAGAGGCAAGATAGGAAGCCATTAGCAGTCCATAGGTGTTGTCTAGGAAGGAGTTCAAAGAGTTGGCATCAGTGGAATGGCTTTTTAGAGAGAGGGAGAAATAGCCAGAAAAGATATAAAGACCTGGTAGCGAGGGAATAGGAAAGAAAGAAAAGAAGGAACAGGGGAAAGACTAGAAAAGAAAGGAATTAGCCTCTACAGCTATGAGAGCAGGACAGACCAGAACAGTGAAACACATACATAAAAACAGCACATCATTTGTATAAGTGCTTCAGTGTGTAGGCAGAACAGAAATGTGCTCAAAGACACGGAAATAACGACCAAGAGTCAGACTGTTTATTAGCTAAAACAAAGCATGAGCTGCTGAGCGCGTGCTGATCATAATGTTATGCTTTACACTGAAAGTGACATTAAACTGTAGACGAGGCCAAACTCAGCCTACTTAAGGTAACCAGGCACATTTGCCGACAGTGTTGCTTAACTACCCGCCTCCATGCTCCTTTATAGCTGCGTTTAATGTTTCTGTACCTGAGCCTCTTTTCTCAAAGAATACCTTCAGGGTCTGCAGCAGCTAAACACATCTCATTATTTTAGTGTGTGTGTACATGTGTTGGAGCATTCGTGTGGCTAATTGGGTTCTTTATAAATCTGTGTACATGTTAGCGTCTGTGTTGTCCTGACCCCTGAACCCTGATTCTCCAATGAGTCGTTAGAAGTCAGGGGTCAGTGGCTGGTAGTAACGCCTCATTGGCTGACTGATTAATGGCAGCCATTATTGTTGTGCAGCAGGGAGATAACAGTGTCGTTTAGCTAACAGCCTGGGAGAGCGCTGATTAAGACGTGGCTAACAACACATACGTGCATGGCACATCTGTTAAACCGAGTCTGTAACGACGCAAACATCCTGACGCGGCAGACGGCGCCATGATAGGCGTCCATTATGGAAGTCATTTAAGAGAACTCAGGTGTCAACATAGTCTTGTATGGAAGGTAAGAGGGTACAGTTACGCAGTAAACCGCCTCATCTGTAATGACTGCACACACACAAAACACTCTGTGGACGTGTGGCTCGTACGGAGATAAATATTTAATATGTATTATAATTGTGAACGATGCTCTTTTTTCAGTGTTAATGTACACATACTGAAATGTCAGTGCCCTGATGTTTATGTGACTTAGTCGCTGCGTGCGATGCCTTCACTTACAGTTTATGTGTTTTAAATCCTGTATACAAACCGAGCATCAAATGGGACAATACAATTGATGTTGAATAATTGTAATTGATGAAATTAAGTAGAAACTGAAGTGATGAGACGTTTCAAAATGTGAACTGTTTTCTGTCTGAATCCCTACAGCAGCGAGTGATGAAGCGGATTCCTGTGATTGGAATGTAAAAATGACTTTCATGTGAAACTTCAAAACTGCACTTTGGACATCTGTCCATCCATATTTCACAACAAAGGAAAGAACTGTATCTATGCGGTCTACTCAGTTTCTGTATTGCACTGCCATCAGTCAGCTGTTTCTACATCTTACGGATTTCATCATAGAAAAGAAAAGAGATTTTGAAAACACTACATGTATCTCTTTCCAGTCATTTTAGCAAAATTACATTATAATAAATTATAAGGAACTTTTATAATTGGTCCTGGGTTGCCTGTTATGAAATAAAAATCACCATAATGTTTTTATGCAATTCTACAACTAATTAAGTAAGAGTTGTAAGAGTAGGTGTTTTATTGAAGAGGCAGAAATCTGATTTTGGAGTTCCTCATATTTATGATTATGATTATTGGCGATCCTGTTTTCATCTGTCTCCCTCTTTCCTCGTTCTCACCCTTGGCCTTCTTTCCTCCGAAGCAGCCGGCGTCATCCTTCTTCTTCCTCTGTGGTCCCGCTGAGCCGGGGGCCTGTAGCACTGAAGGGTCCTGGAACTTTTCTGCCCCTGGCACCTCTTTGTGGACGTGGTAGGACAGGTTCCTCATAATACAAACACAGTTCTCCACAGACTGGGAGGAAAGAGAAGCAGAGACGTCATCATCTTAAAGTACATCTGTGTGGTACTTCGATATGAGCTCAGTAATTCCTATGCAAAAGACTGAGAACATACGCCGTATACTGTACAGCTGTTGTCCTACCTTATTGTCCATGTCTTTCTTCCCTACAGCTGATTGGAGAGCGTGCAGCAGGGCGTCCACCAATCCCTCGCATTCCCTCAGTCTGCGCCGAGCCTCTGCTCCGTCCGAGCTCACATTTCTACAGGAAAAAGTCAGACACACACACACACACACACACACACACACACACACACACACACACACACACACACACACACACACACACACAAACACACTGTCAGTGAGCATGAAAGAGGCCATGTAGAGGAACATCAACATCAACTATAACAGCTGCTCTGAATTTGCTCTTCTGCAATTTCTACAGCAGATCATCAAAATTTTAGGATTGTGAGGGAAGTTTTGTATTATTCAAAGGTCTGACTTGCTGTAAGTATATATACAGGACAGCATACCAAGCTGCATTTGGGTTTTATTGATTTTTTTGCAGTTGTCAAAAGTCAGTATTTGAGACAATGGTAATCATCTTAAATGTAAACACATGTAAATCACATAAAACCCTCAAAATCTGAGAAACTGCTGATGCATACTATAATTCTCCATTTGCAACTCGTATTACTACGACTCCAAGAAGTCTTATTGTTACTACAACTACGACTATTACCACTTTATGTATAGTGGCAAGGAATTTTAAGTTTAGTTCAAGTTTACTCTGTCATTTCAATCACAAAAAATACATCAATAAAATATCAGGAACAGTGTATAAAAAACAATTAAACATAAAAACAGTGACATCACTTTTTTTTTCCTTGGTGTGCTACATTGGCATCACTTCAGGTTTCTAAAGGCAAGTGTTTGAACTGGCTGACGATGACTGGCAGATAAAAAAAAAAGGCAGATATCAGTCCAAACCAACCGTGTGATTTTGTGGCTTTTGCACGTGACCCATGGCCTGTCTGCCTCTAATGTACAATGTAAGAAATCCCAACTGCTTTAGAAATAATCTTAAGAAAATGATGAATATAAATTTCATTTTTGGTACAAAGGGAAATGCCATCCCTGTTACATCAGCCAGCGCCCTGAGCAGCTCTTTATAAGCATAGCAGCAGAGCGGGTGCAGTCTTAGTGCGGCTGTCTGACTGACTGTGAAAGGCAAGGCTTTAAAGAGGGTTAAGGGATAGCTGGGGCTCCCTGCTCCTCTCCAGGGACTTCATTTATGAGGGCTTCCAACCCACATAATCCCATTAGCCGACCCCCAGTTAGTCCTGTGGCAGAGTGGCAGCCTTGCGGAGGTAAGCAGTGCCGGAGTGCTTCATAGTGCTGTGTGGACCGAAACACACATCGCATCCAACGCCGCTGCACATGTCGATGTTTCAGTTTAACAACAAAGGACACGAGTGCAAGGCCGATCGATACTGTTCTATATTTGAATGATTTAAGAATAATCCATCTGTGGTCACTAATTATTAATGTACAACTAAGAATGCACACACATCCACTTATTGACCTTCACAAATGGGCAGAACCCTATACACAGAAACATATCACCTGCCTGACACCGTGTATGAGTATTTATGCCATTTGTCTATGGAGTGCAGACCCGCACTCACTGGTAGAGACAAGGCAGACGGCACCGGCCATCTGGACCCACTCATGAACCAAACCCACCCGTCTTCAGCTGTCAGAAAACAGTCACCACCGTCCCTGTAAACGGATCCAGAGGAGCGCCCGCCTTGGATTTATTTGACAGGAGTGTGTTTGGGGGCAGACAGACAGAAGAGTTTTATTGTCAGCTGTTTCATTTCCAGGAGTGTTTCAGGGAGCAGTTGTCTTGGTGGAAGCTTTATGGACGGTGCATCTGTCAGTGGAGACGGTGTGGGAAGGTGCTGTTGTCTTTGGAACAGGTTATCTGGTGGTGTAATGTTGAGTTTTTAGTGGGGGTTAAGGTCTATAAGCACTGATGATTATTGATCCACCAACAGTGGACCATCTGTTGTTGTATTACCGCACTTCCTCTCCAGGTGAGTAACCTACTAATGCTACCAAACATAAAGAGTTCAGCTGCATGCATTTGCTTTTTTTAACGTATTACATCAGCTCCAATTACATCTATCCTTAAGCACTTAAGCAGTAATCGGTTATGTAGGTGTGTGAATAAAATAAATACGTTTGTAAATTGGTTAAATCATGCATTGATTATGTTTTCTATCTAGCTTTTAAGCAGTGTTGTGGCAGTGGTATCAATTTAGGCTGCGTCTCATAGCTTTTCCCTGCAAATGAGGCATTCGGGTGCGGGACAGCTAATTGTCCCCAACACACAAAAACCCACAATCCGAGCAGCTTTCAGCTCAATCTAATTTCAGCTCTTTGGGTCAGAACCAGTTCGGTCATCTCTGTCTGTGTTTACAGTGACAACCTTCCATCGCTTACTCCGATATCTGCTACTTCTGGCTCCTGTGCACATGGAAAACTGGCGTGCTAGAAAGTGTTGCTATGACAACCAGCAACCATCCATTTGACTGGATTTTTAGCCATGCTAGCAGCACGGCTTCAGGGCTGGCAGTGTTGGTCTGTTGGGCAGTCCGTCCGCCACTTTGGTCTATGATATGTAGAAGACTTTGGGGACGTCCTGACGCTTCCTCTAGTGTCACCATTTGGGGTTTTGAGAGAAATGTCTCATTAACTATTAAATAGAACAAAAATTCACATTGCCCTCAGGATGAACTGTTATAACGCTAGAGGTCCGCTGTCTTTTCATCTAGCTCCACATTACAGGATACCTGCTAACCATAAACATATTCTTCTTGAAAGTGTTAGCATTTAGCTCTAAGAGGCACATCACCAGTTCTGGTGTATTTCAGCATCTCCAACATTTTTCTTTTTTTCTTCCTTGAACAGCAGATATGTTTCTCCCTATGACAACGCAATTAATTAATGACAATATTTTGACAGTCAAAGAAAACAGTGACAATATAGGAAAAAACAATGACTGAGGTCTGTGAGGACAAGGTCGTTCTCTTCACTGTGACGACTAAGTGCAGAAGTGGAAGACGTGCAGATCTCCTCTAAAGCACAAGGTCTTTTATTATTAACCAGGAAATAGTTAGCTCCATGAAAGAAAGCTGTTTAAGACAGTTGTCAGTGCGCTGTGCTTCTGCTGTTCTTTCTCATGGTAGAAAGAAAAAAAAGACTGAACTACTCACTGCAGTTTTTGGTGGCATCATGCAAAACAGGACAATTTGGCCACTTTCTGGTCTCATTATTTCACTTTATAATCAGAGGCTAAATGAATAAGTGGGTGTGCATTCAGAGGTCTGTCTGGATCTGCACAGACGCCGACAGCCCGTCACTGTGATCTGGATGTGTCCATAGTGTGTCCGCTTTATCAGATGAAGTGTGGGTGTGAAGGTCACTCAGAGTCATGTGGCCACCAGAGGACAATAGAGCAGCTGGGAGGAATAGACCGGAGCAGGACTGATGGAGACTGATGGAGATGGATGGAGACGCGGTTGACCTCTGCTATCGCCCTGCAAGGTCAATGGCAACACTGAAATGACCATATGTGCACCCCGGGGTAGGTATCTTTTAGGTTTTATCGATTCTGATTCCGTTTCTGATTCAGCCTCTTATCTTATTGTCGTTTAGATCTTTCTCATTTTATCTGAATGAAAAGAGAAAAATACAGTGTGTTGGAAGCCAAGCTGATCTTTATTATCGTCATATTTAAGCTGCTAGAAACAAAATCAGCCTGACATTTTGCTCATGTCGGCTTTTCACTGCCTACGAGCTGGGGTTAGTTTGAAATAGGTGTTTTTCAAATACACGTCGAGATATTTGAGTGGATAAATGAAAACTTTAACCTGCTGGTTGTGCTGAATGAAAAGTCTTTAGGATTCACCCTCTGGGCAATCTGGATATGTGTGCCAAATTTCATCGACAGAGTGACTAACACCGCCTTCCCAAGAGAGACACTGCCAGTGAAGCCAAAAAGACCAATATATAAACATGCACATGTGCTCAAGTGTTTGCTGTCGGACATTTGTTTTTGCTTGAGTTGGATGTCTTAATATAATGTGATTCTGAACCATTATGACCATTAATCACAATAATACATTTTATTTATAGGCACCTTTCAAGGCACTCAAGGACACCTTACAGCACACAGTGAAAGCTAAAATAGCAAGCACAAGGCATAAAAACCCAAAATAAATCAGAATAAATATAATTGCATAAAAGAAATATGATTTACAGGAAAGTGTTGGAGTTAGACAGAATAGGCAAATTTGAAGAGGTGTGTTTAAAAGACAGGAAGAGAGTCAATATTACTGATGTCTTGTGGGAGTGAGTCCCAGAGTCGAGGGGCAACACGACTGACGGCTCTAAAACCACTGGTGTTCAGACAGGCAGGAGGTAGAGAGAGATTAACAGAAGAGGAAGCTCTAATGGGACACGAAAAATTCTGTGTTCTTGAAAAAAGCTTTCTCTTCACATGAGTTTATTTTTGATCAGTGATTCCATGTCCTTGGATTATTCTTGTCTTTTGTTATAATGATCCACAACAGTAAACTCTACCTCTGATCTGACATTATTATTATCAACACCACACCTGTGTAAGCACTGATGCCCATGGAAACCCAGCAGTTGATAGTGGAACAAAAAAAGTCTGTTCTTTCACTGGGACCAGTTCCAATTCAGAAAGAGCTCTTGATATCCAACCCTGGTGTTCACCTTCACCCCCGACAACACACTGTTTCCCCTTACTGAGCCCACAGGGTAAACACTATAAATAAGATGGCCCGTATCGACAGCAGAGGCCATTATAATAAAACTATCCCTGGCTTGATTGAGGTGTAAGCTGCGTCTCAGTTGGCACAAGTAAACAGATTCTCCCTGGCATTAACGCTTTCTCCCCCTGCGTCTAGGCAACTGTGGGCTTGGTTACAGTTACCATGGAGACATATTCTCGTCAGCAGTGCCTCTGCCAGCGCCATCAGTGGTTGAGGGAATGAGAGTGACAGGGAGATATTGTGATATGTGACAGCGATGAGACATGTGGCATCAGGGGTGATGAGGTTTGGATAAAGTGTTTGGGGAAAAAAACGGTGAAAAACATACAATATATACACAGCAAAAGAAAAGCAGAGAGTGTGACATAATGAAAGAAATCATGAGAAAGAGTAAGGGCAGCAGACAGAGCAGGTTTCCCACTGTGGCCCTGATGTAAAATTCCATGACTTCTCTATGACTTTCCTCAGCTCTATCAGAGCGCTTTCATTTATTCCCTCTTGGTTCATTAATGCTGCTCTTCAACTCAGCGGAAAATGTTCTAAAATTACAAGCAAGTTTCCGCACTTTCTACAGTCTGAGAAAGCTGGCTGGAAATCATCTAATGCCATGCAAAAATGTGTGAAATACACTCTGGAACTTTCTGCCTGAGCTGGATTTGGATGTTATATTGTCCTGGATCTCAACCAGCGCCTACTGCAGGAGAACTTCTTCCCTGGATTACAGTCTAGACAGGCTTGGCTGGCCCGGGAGGAGACGGAGCAGCCAGGCGTGAGGCGTGATAACCCACATACACACTCCCCGTCTTACACTCTACTACAGTCTGTCACTCTGGGTTGAAGACAAAATGACAGATTCAGCGAGAAAGCTAGAAGTGAAGATATACTTGGAGAGGGGAGAAACTACTTGGAAGTTAATAACAGGAATTCAAGATCGCTGTGCTCAAGTTGTCATCCTCAGTGGGTGACAGCATTTAAATGAACGAGGCAGAGAGGATGTTTGACTGAGGTTTTGCAGTTTTTGAGGTACATTTGATTTTTGTCTGACGTTTACGTTGCCTTCAATTTGAATATTAGGAACTCGGCTGATGCTCATGTCCACAAAACATGCAAAAGTGCATCATTTTGAAATCAGGGAAGCTTTTAGATAACTGATGTAGAACTGCTGTTTTCATTCCCAATTAATCTGATAATTATTTTCTTGAAATAATTAATCATTTGATTGATGAAATGTCAGAAAACAGTGAAAAATGACACGCATCATTTCCTAAATACTGAGCTGAAATCTTCAAATTGCTTGTTTTGTCTGACCAACAGTCAAATTTAGTTGATTAAACAATGAAATCATTATCAAAATAGTTACAGAAGAAGTTTTTGTTGAACAATTGATCGATTAATCAACTGGTTATTTAAGCTCTACTGATACAGCAACATGAAAAAGCCTTAGTCCTTTGACTGCTCATTGCAAAGCAACGTCCAGACGTCTGATCTTCTGTCTTTATGGACATGTTTATGTTAATTCTGTCAGATGACCACAGATGCTTGCTTCTCTTCCCCATGTGGTGATGAGGGAGCTGTTTTTACTGATAAACTGATGGACCTAATAATACACTGTATGGTGATGTAACTACGTTTAGACTTTATCGTATAGTTTGAACCGTGTTTGACACATATTTTCAAATGTAGCCGCGTTATTGTTGACATGGTTTCTCCACAGGTCAATGGTCAACTGGGGAGCAGGAAACCGCTAATTGGTGGCTCTAACAGGTTCAAGCCAAACAATCATCATGCATCTCTGTTTTATTTTATCAGCCAAATACAGTGTGGCGGGTTTGCAAAGACAACCGAGAGCAACTGTAATGTCACAGTATGTATGGGGTTTAGGTAAGGATGCAGCTTTATCTCAGACTAGAGCCCCTCAGGACTAAAGCAGACCTTCAGTTTTTAAAACAAATGGACCAGAACGGGTCAGATGAAAGGCTGTGTGAGTCACACCACTTTAACTATGAGGTGTGTCAATGTGGAAATGGAGACGTTAACACCATTTTGGAAGACTGACCTAAGCACAACTCATTTCGGATGCAGTCATTGAAAACAGTTAAAGCAGAGGAGTGTGACTCAGTCATTCCAGGTTCAGTGATGGGGATGAGTGTAGCTCGCACAGGGCTGTTACCAGCTGAGGACTGTTTTTCTATAATACTTTAGGTACTGAAGGTGCTGTAGATGTCGTAGGTACTGGAGATGTGATCCTTCCAGGACTGATGAAGGCAGTATAATAACCCTACCTGACCCTAAGTGACCTAGCCTGACATCAAACTCAAAAGAAAAGAAGAAGACAGGCCCGGTATACAATAACAACACATGGAATGGCATCAGAAAGTGCATGTACAGCAACTGGTCTGCCACGACTTGTGGAAACAAAAACACACCAACCAGAGATATTTTGCATTTAACACGGATCATCAGCAACAAGTTATAGACGACCACCAAAGGCCAGTCCGCAAGCGATGCCACAGAACATTTCAAATACGACATCTACAGTAGCATCAGAATTCAGGGTGAGTGAGTTTCTGTTGTTGACTGTATATTAACAACATGTCGTCAAAATGTTCATGTCCTGAAATGTTTCCATTATTGTTTGCAAACTGCAACAGCTGGCATCTGTTGTAGCAACGCTCCACACACAACGTTCACAAAGGCTAATGTTAGCTTGTTCAGGATAACGTAGCTCATAACATGAGCTGGATGCTTACAACATTAGCAGGCTCCAGTCATTACTGTTCAGTTTAAACTGCTGCTTGCACACTGACTATATGTTGGTGTGTGTATGAGTGTGTGCACTGTGTGTGTGCTAACACAAGAGTTGATGTTGTCTTTGTAACAAAAGGAAGGAGTACAATCCTAAAACACTAAACAAACATCCTGACTTGTTGTCATGAGGCAATGATTTGCACTGTGGACTCAGTTTACCTTCACTCAGCTTTATCAACTAACTAACAACTAAACTTCATTTGTGTGATTATTTAATTGTAACTTGTTTTACAAATTAATTCCCAAACTACAGCAGATAAGATAAGATGTCTTTTCAAGTGATAACCCATAGCTGCTGTAGTCACAAGTACGGCTATGTCATAAATAATTTTATGTTTTCTTAGAGTCACCCAGCAAAGCCACTGCAGACAGACATTCAACACATTACACTTCACATACACACACACACACACGCACAGACTGTGACAGGAGGAACTCAGCATCTGCCGCATCATAAATTCTCCGAAGAACATAAATCTGACTGTGGCTCAGGGTGAACAAGAGCACATATGTAGACTCATATATGTGACACCTGTCCCCAGCTTCAACTGGTATGGTAATGAAAACAATCTTTAAAGGCTCTGGGTGTGTGTGAATGGTTTCCAGGATGATCTCCGTCCACATGTTGTAAACCTGAATAAACTTCAACCTGAATAAATCTGCCATCTGTCTCTACAATTTAGCCTAATGTCTGTGTCCTTCCTGGTTTAAAATTAGTTTTGTCCATCTGCCTTAGCTCCAATAGACGGCTCCAGGCTTTCATCCATTTGATAAATGCAGCCAAGGATTTTTGCTGCTAAATTTTCACATCTGATATTTGGAGGAATGAGTTGAACTTCTTGTTTAAATTGATAATTTGTTTGCTTATTTTTTTTGGTGCCATTCCCACTTTAGACTTTCATAATCAGAAGATCGCCAATTATTTTCTTCAATTCAGTTCAACTTTATTTATAAAGCGCCAAATCATAACAAAAATGATCTCACTGCACTTTACAGCGTAAAGTCAAGACCTTACAATATTATAGAGTTTCAATCTATCGATAAGTCAGTTTGCCTTTAAAATGTCAGAGAATGATGAAAACTGCTTATTTGTATTTCCAAGAGCCCAGCGTGAAATATAAGATTCACAGTTCACTGTCACAAAAAAACAAATCCGACATCAACCATTCAGTCAGTAGGAGTCTTGACCTGAAACCCACTGTTTTCAAATTCTTATAAAATGATTCAGTTGCAAACTTTTCTCCCATTTCTCCATAGAATCTTTCTGATCGCTCAATTCTCCCTGCCTGTAATGCATCGCTCAAACATGCATGACTCCATACAGTTAAATCAATAAATGAATATCTAATCAAACAATATAAATAATCTACATTATGTTGGGGATGAGAAACAATGACCTGGTACATGTATAAACCAACCTGAGGCAGCCGGAGGTGTTCTTGAAGACGGTGGTCCACTCGGCATCGCGGGGCTTTGAGTCCTCGTTGGGCTCGTGCTCCCAGCCTGAGTGGGGGATAATGACCTCGTTGGTCATGGTCTGCAGGCCGTGGTTGATGATCACCATCTTCAGGGGCTCATAGGATGACAGATTCCACAGAGTTCCTGGAGGGAAGCAGAGGAGGAAGGAGAACAAAAGAGAAATTAAAAGACAAGGAATAGGTAGCAATGACAAGAAAGAGGGAGGGAATGTGGAGTGAGAAAAAATGTAGAAAGAAAGTGATATTGATGTGATATAATGTAAAATTGGAGCGCAGACTTTAAGATTGCAAATCAAAACCACATTCAGACTGGCAGTAAACCACATTTCAAAAGAAATAATGGAACAAAATTGGTTGTTCCTTAGCCAGTCGTGATGTCAGCTAGACATATTGGACTGTATTAAAGAAAAAAAATCATTTTAATATTATTATTATTCTCCCATGAGAGCTCAGCAGAGTACCACTATGTTGTAATCAATACTGGGTTTATATCAAGCCATCTCACTGTGATATCCCTATACTGCTCTCATAATATTGCTATAGGAATAGTGAGGTTTCATTCACCTTATGATCCTTTATGTCTGTAGCTACTGTGTGCATAGGATCGACGTAAATGATCTATTTTAGCGTTTCTGTTAACACAGACAACACACTGTCTTCTCTTCCAAACAATCCAAGCAGAAGAAAGAACATTTTTTTTATTTACCTGCACATTTCTAAAACAGGCAGCCTATTTCATACTGCTGGATATGTGCATCCTGAGGTTTCACAAAAAAGAGAGGCAGCCAGGCAGATAAAGTGGAGAGGAGGCCATTTTTGGCAGCGTGGCCAAGCAGCCAACCCAAACAAAAATAAAATGCTGTGTTAAAGCATCAGCATGAGATGATCAGACACATGGAGGCTGTGGAGTGAGCCAGCTTCCAGTTTGAGGAGAACAAAACGAAAAAAAAAACACTGAAGTCCATGTTTCACAGGGGTTATTAAGCCATCCTTCAGGGGTCTCTCTCTCTTTGTCGCTCTACAGTACCTCACACGGCCAACTATGGTTCCTAATACGCTGCTTGTACAGCTGAAAAGATTTGGGACTTGTATGATTATTGTTTGTCTATTATTCTTCGATTTAGTTAATTATTGTAGTAAAAGTTTAGGGAATGTAAACAGGAAGTATAATGTTGCTATGGATTCCTCATTGAGTTACTGTGGGCTATAGCTTTAGCCTTTTAAAAGCGAGATGAACATTAAAGGTATGTACATTAAATGTATACTGAATTAGCTATTTGTAATGTAACAATGGACATACGAACAACTTTCCATGGATTATTTGATACTGAAGAAAATTTTAAAATATTATGATTCTCAGACATGTTCTTTGATTATAATGACCGTCTTTTAAGTGGATTTATCAGAGTTAATTATATCATCAGAAAGTGTCCCACTGAGTTTAAAAATGTGTGTATCATGTCTGTGTGCCCAGATTTGATTTAAGTTATTTTTGATGCAAACTGTGGTAATTGGGCACTTTTTTATTGGAGCTTAAAGCACCTTAATTGCCTCCATGTGCTGTGTGTCTACTGCTGCCTCTAACTACGTCCTGTCTTTGTGAACTGGCCAAACTACAACACCTTTTCAGTGTTCTTCCCCAATGGGGAGGTGCACCTTTTTGAAAACCTCTGGACCAAAGGAACAATAACTGGGCACTAGGGCGTTAAAATTATCCACACATACAGGAACACACACACACACACACACACACACACACACACACACACACACACACACACACACAGAAGCACTCAAAGAAATGCACTCTGCATATTATAGAAATGCACTTGTGCACACACGTGTACAGACACCCACAGTCTATGATTCCCTCTTGCCCCACAATAACAGACCATTAGCGGAGCAGTGAAACTGTCATACTTCCTCGCTTTGCTCTTTAAAACGGTTTCTGTACATTTTCCAGACAGTCAATATTTCCTCTGTTAAATCATGCTCTCCACACAGAGAAAAAAAAAAAGTCTCAGCAGACAGACCCACACTAAAAATAACTCAAGTCCTTCTGGTGTGGTTGTGCCTGGAGAAAACTGGATTCCTACGCCAAGAAACTGAAAGAAAAAAACTGATGAGACTAATCCACATACAGTGTTATAGTTGAAGTCTGAAGGCGGTTTATGACCTTTATTCTCTCCCATCACATCTGTCCTAACCGAACTATCAGACAAAACAGATACACTGTACCTCCAGTCCCAATGTGTTTACAGTAGGTGACTCGACCGGCTTCCTGTGCGTCACAGACTACCAGGCCTCCAGTATCTCACTGGGAAGCTATTAGATGTGCAAGCTGAGGTGTGGCTCCACTCTAGGCCACATTCACACACACACGAGGTGTGATGGAGGATATTGAACACACTCTCAGGCCAATTTTATATAATCCTGTGTGCTTAACAGATCATGTTTATGGAACTTTGAAAGAGCTTAGTGCAGGGAGAGATTGAACATTTTGGACAGTGTGTATGATCTGCTGTAGCATTACTAAATTCTGGAATTCCTCAGATCTTGTACGACCGTCAATAACATCACATCCTTCTTATCCACTTCACAGAGTTTGATGGGTACAGAACATGTCCTGAGAGTAAACATTGACTTTCAGAGTAAAATTTCCCCAAAGCCTAAAACAATGAATGTTCAGGTAATTTACACTGTTTTAAATTTTGTGCTTCATGTGTTTACTGTAAATTTCATCTCTGCAAATTCAAAGTTGATTTCTTTTTTTATAAGCACTTCATGGTGCGTTAAACTTGGAGGAACACAAGCTGAAATGTTATTTAAACATATATCACTGAAGCTGTGATTGAAGGAATGACACTAGTATTATTTACGTTTGTTTTCTGCTTTTATTGCATATTGTGAGTATTGTAGCTTGGTCTATCTCCTCTGTTTGCACAAAGGTCCCATATTGTATAAAGTCATATTTCCATGTCTTTTTTTATTATAAAGCAGGTCTAGGTTCTATATTAATACTGTGAAAGTATCAAAGTGCTCAGTCCACAGAGAAATGCACACAACCTGTATTCAGAAACTGAGCCTTAAAACCAGCTGTCAGGACTTGTAACTTTGTGATGTCACAACTGAGAAGTCACCACTCTCAGCCATGCCCCAAGCTCCACCCACCTGGACCCACCATCCAACCTTAAGGAATTTGGTTTCTTGAGTGTTTACCTGAAATCTGCTATATTTTCATTCGATCACTCAAAAAACAGCCAATCAGAGGAAAGGCTCAAAGCCTCCTCTCTTCTGATTGGCTCCCTGACCTGTTGTAGCTAGAGCTCCAGAGAGAAGCCTGAGAGAGGAGATGTAAAACTACATTGAGATGGTTTTTGGCTCTTAAAACCACAAATATATCTTCTTATGGATCAATTATTCGAATAAAACACTGAAAAAGCATAAAATATGGGACTTTTAAGTGCTTTTGGCTGAAAATGATGAAGTAAAAAAAGGCCCTCCCTTTTCCCACGTTTCCTGTCTCTTCACTACCCCATCAACCCCCCACCCCTTCCTGACATAACATGAGAGAGCCAATGCTACACTATTTAGACTTTTTAATTTCATGCTAATGAACTACCCAGCACAATTAAATCCAAATAAAATAAGTTAAAATATGTGATGTTTGAGTTCAAAAGAGCATAGAATCCATATTAAAAACAATGGGCCTTTTATATCTATATAATTTTGCATTGCAGTGAGAGTCAAGTTTTTTGCTCTGGTGCATATTTCCTCCACCGTCCTCTTTCACATGGTCAGTTTTGTCATTTATTCCAACCAAAGTCACAAGAGCCAATGAGAGCGAGTATCAGCATCCAGGCATAAATCAAATTAACAACAAATGTGCTCTTGGGATGTGTGTGTGTGTGTGTGTGTGTGTGTGTGTGTGTGTGTGTGTGTGTACTCTGGTATGATGACAGCTAGCTAACATTCATGCCTGCCTGCCAGGCTGACAGCTTGATTACCCCCACTGTTGTGTCATTAGCATTAGTTTTAGATGTGACAAGCAACATCCAACATGCAGGCTACACACAAGGAGGCAGCTGGCAATGGCTTAACAAAGACAAGCAGAGCATAAAGAAAACTTGTTACTAAAAGGACAACATTGAAGCCTGATGTAAAAGCCTTGTGTTTGCCTGCTATGAGATTATTGTTGCATTATTTTTCTACATCATCATAAAACATCAACAGTCCAAACCCAACATGGCTGCAAATGTATTTCCTGTGAAATACAGCAGCATCCATCTGAAACTTGTCTTGCCTTGGCCAGTGCTTAAGCAAAAAAGCAATTTGCAGAAACAACCAAGGGCTCATATAAACCTCAGTGCTTCAAAGTAAAGAAAGATTCCTCAGCCTTGATGCACAAAGTATCTCTCCGTCCCCCCTGGGCTGTCCCCCATCACCTGCACTATTCCAGCTGAAACACTGCTCAGGCCGGAGGAATCAGTCAGCTTTACACTGATCACATATGCCAGAGGGGAGGAAAAGGCATGTCTTTGCCGTGGCTGCGATCCATCAAGTACGACCGGCATACAGCCCACAGACAGAACGTTATTAAAGATGACAAGGAGCTGTGGAAGTGACGATCTCCATCCCACGTCCTGCCACTGTTTCAGAGCTGTGACGCCGTTATTCCATTTGCTGTCCTCCGTCAGACTGTCAGAGGTGGGTGTGGCAGGAACGACCTGCTCGCTCACAGGGACTGAGGCAGATACTGAGCAACTGTGATGTCAAAGACTCACTTCACACCTGATAATAAACATACTCACACTGAGTTTGGGTTTGTTTGATAGAAATTACACCTGATTTTAAGACGCTCCATCGATACATACTGAAAGAGGTAGGAGACTGTCAGAGTTCATTTAGGTTCCTTTGAAAATGAATGCCAACTCTGTGCTCGCTTAAAGGACTAGTTCAACATTTGGGGAAATATGCAGATACATATTCAATACAGGAAATGTTAATTTATAACCAGCAGCTGGTTAGCGTTAGCATACAGACATGAGTGGTATCAATCTTCTCATCTAACTTTGAGCATTAAACTGCTGAATTATTCCCTCAAAAATCTAAAACTACACAGCA